TATTGTAATTGCGTTTTCTGCTATTGTGACTGTTTAAAAATATGTAAATAAACAATAAATAAATGCGGCAGGACAAACTATCCTTTTCTGTCAAATGGTTCTATTACATCTTCAACTTTATGGTATTGAAATAAACTCGGAAATTCAATTAATAAATTTGACAGATTGGAGTAGATTGATCTGTTGGCCATAGTACTTGTGAACCTTGAATATTTCAGGAAGAATATAAATATTATTGGATTTCCCAAATAACATGATGTCAATAATTATAGCCGTTTTCATAATAATTATCATGAGACATGCTAAATTAACTAAAAATCGCGGTTTACTTACATGAGTACGGGTTCGAAACTAGTAGAACACCTTTGTAGTTCGAAACCAGTATAGCTTTTTCCAATATTCATGCCGTGAGTAACCTGCGATTTTTAGTTAATTGTGGCCGTGTTGCAGCCATTAGACTACTTAAATGTTACTCAAAAGTGTGTTTACTACACTTTCCTTTCACAAGCTCTCTTTAGACGATAACAGGATTATGTGAGATTAAATATTTCCTTAGACAACCTAACACAAGAACATTAATAACACATTTTCATCAATATGCCCAACGTATTTTCATTTTCCATTATCCCCCCCCCCATAACGGAGCAGAACGGAAAATTAGAAAGATAACAAATGACTACCATTCATTGTTTATTATTTTAACTAATAAAGAAAATTATTTTACTAACTCAAACAAACTTCAAGATGTTTTCGGAGTATCTTACAAATATTAGATCGTTTATAACAGGCTTCACTTCGTTCACAGAAGACGTGAACCTTTTATATTTAGAAGGTCATTGAAACAAAAGATGGGTACACAAAAGCTTTCTGGTTTTCGACTGGAAATGTCAGAAGTACAATTTAGTAACAAGAGTTATTAGAATTAAAGTTTTGGCTTCTGTTACTTTAATGTAATTAACGGATAAATATAATTAAGGAGATATAAATAGTTAGTCTCACTAAAACTCGAGAAAGGCTGAATCAATTTGGCTAATTTTGGTCTTTAAATGTTCGTGGAAAGTTTCAAAAGATGAGGATTTTTTTTTTGGGTATAAGAAGTTTGCTAGGTCAACTGGTGTTAGTTATAACTGAGCAGAAGAATAAATATTGTGAATTCCTATGAAATGAAATTATTTTAAGTAATTTACTAAGTAATGTTCTTATGCTGTTACACAAAATTATTGGTTGTATTGTCAATGAGTAGTCTGCCCTGCTCTTAGAAATGCTTAAGTTTTTATCAAGGCCATCTTTTAATTTGTCATAACTTCATTTATAATAATCAATTAAGTTGTCCAGTTTACTCGTGTGACACGACTCTACTAATTTCAAACCATGTAAGGGTTCATAATAACCACTTCGAATATTTACGTAAGTAACCCATACAACCAATTTATTTTTCATTATTCATGCCTATCTTAGTTTTTGTGATATCAAGTGAATGACCTCCATTAGTAATGACATCACCTTCCTCATTCCTATACTAAATACGTACTTATTGGCCTTCCTATAAGGGTGAATATCCCATTAGAGCTTGGCATATATTTTCTTTAGTCTCTGGTCCTTTCGTAATCTGATATTTTTATGTACGCTTATTCTATGTCGTGTTGGTACTTTCTCTACAAAAATGTAATCACATTTTCAGCATATTTTTTTTATGTCATTATTATTTTATTATGTGTGTGTGGTGTTGATACATATTGCTAATTGTTTGTTGGTTATTTTGCTAACTGCTTGTTCAACTACCTTTTTGGATGACTGGTCAAGTAGATTATTGAACAAGAAGTTTTGGTTCCATGTCTAATTGGGATTCTTTTTTGGTTTGGCCTCTATCTCGCCTGGTGGTAAAGGATGATGTGGCCTACGATGGAGCACGTATGTCCATAAGCAACCTATTCACTCAGACCTTGACGACACCCAGGTTAACCCTTCAGGAAACACAGACTCTGGCAAAGAATTCTACTTCTTAGCAGTTTGCACAAGGAAGCTTAAAAAAGCTATTTTCAAAGATTAATACTAAACAAGTAAAATAAAAGAAGCAGCAACACTCGTAACCATTGGATCATAGAACATAGAATCTCCTTTGTACACCACACAGAAGCCCAAAGATTACTATACACAAAACCTAGTAGAAAACGAATTTAGTTACGTTTTGCTTATATGCGAAATAAGAAAACAAAAAGCGAATTGAAAGTATGGAGGTAAACAAAGAACTTGTGAACATTTCTACACTCAGTAACGAACAACGGATGCAAAGTAAATTTGGCAATTTGTAGGCAATTTTCTCCCTAAATCGACCGAATATTAGGCTAAGGCTTAACGTACTTATATGTATACTAGCTTATGGAAACGGTTTTGTTCGCGTAGATATTAAAAGCCGTTGGGATAAATAATATTTTTTATGGGTTAGGAGCAAACGAGCAGACAGATCAGCTGATGATAATGAAGTGTAAGCGTTTAGCGCCACCCGTGAGTGTCCATAGGTATAGCGCTGTTCGATTGTAATACCAGAGACGAAGAAGATGAAGGGGCTCTGATTATCCGGTTCCAATATGAACTAACTAATCAGAGCGCCTCATTTCGATTACTTTAAAAAAAAAACAAATTCGTACCAAGCCCTCAGGAGAGGTACAAGGGCGTATAATAATATCAGATTACAAGAAGTCTATGACTAATTACGAATAAGGTATCTGACAAGATAATACAATCCGAAAATGAGTTCAATAGCTACTGCTGCGATGGAAGATGTGATAAAAACTAACCAAATATAGGTACTAGTTAAACCTTTGTACTTTCTCCCTTTACCTTTCCTCTACTCTCATGAGATAAAGGTGTGAGCTTAAGCTTAAGAAAGTCTGTATCATTAGTTACTGAGGCTACTCGTGATAAACAAACAAAAGTTTCTCAATTTATCAGTGTAAATTATACAAGTATAAATTTATGTACTCACATTCATAGAATCGAGAAAGTACTTGAAATTACATTTTCAAGGAGATTGGATTATATGTAAGGTAATCAGAAATTTGAGCCGCAATTTTGAGATTACCTGGTAAAGTTTATTAAGAACATTACATACGCCATTTTTGTAATCGGCTGTGTAGAGGTAGAAATATAATATTGCTATTTGTATATTACAGGCATTGGTTTACTTTCTCGTGTTTATAATGGCGTTGGAGGTTTATTTATGTATTTACTAGCTTTTACCCGCGGCTTCGCTTGCGTCACAAAAAGATAAAAGTAGCCTATGTGATTATACCAATACACACAGCGCTATCTATACCAATACTTTTGTTTTTCCTCGGGAATATCAATTTTCCGGGATAAACAGTACCTATTATTTAATCCGGACTTTGAACTTTACGTCTGCAAAAATTCAGAGCAATCGGTTTAGTAATTACTGCGTGAAAGCGGAACAAACAAACAAACTCACTTTCCGATTTATAATATTATATGTAAATCCTTAGATTTACATTTTATATCACACCATAAAAACATAAAGAAAAAAAAAGTGTAATGGGCGATCTTATCGCAGAATGCAATTTCTTACAGACAACCTTTGGATGGTACCAGTGTACAATACCAATCAAACTTAATACATTTATACTATCTACAAATACCAAATAAATATACTATATATGAGTGTGTATGTGTTCGTGTGTTTATTAGTAATTAATAAATTACTCGACACAAACTGAAACATAACAATATGATGTGTAAATTCCTATTGAATGTTTCTCCTCTAAGATTGTTAAGCATTATTAGATTTTCTGTTCCATATAGAGAAACAACCAAAACCAACTTTGTAACAAATAAAATATAATTGAAAATTGAGTGTTACGCTTTCCGTAGCTTATTTCGTTCTCCCCATCAAACGCTTGGCAAAGAACGCGAAAATTCATTATTTGTTGGAACTTTCATATTATTTTTAGTCTGTCTTTCAGCTCTTATTATCTCAGTATAAGATGTATTACATTATCTTAAGAATATTTGCGGGAATGTTGCCAATTTTATTTATGGGTATCAAACAATTTATTCGTTGTAGGTACCTATGTGCTGTTATACCCGAGTGCTGTTGAGACCACAGAGAGATAAGACTGACATAAAGATACAGAAAATATTGATTTACATTTCCATGCTGGCCTACATAGGGCAAACATTCTGTATAATGTTTAGGCTATCGATATCCCTATACGGAGCCGCGGAAATCCTAAAGGGTTGCCGGGGCTTCGGCTCGAAAAGCAGGAGTAGGAACGGGGTGGTTTTTAGTCAGTAAGAGTCTGACACTCTCTCTCTCGCCAGGCATTCTTTACCAGAGTCTATATTTCCTGAAGAGTGTCTTCGAGGCCCGAGTGAATAGGTTGCTTAAGGGACAACGTGCCATCGTAGACCGCATTATCGCTTACTACCAGGCGAGATAGTGTTGAAACGTCGGCCCATCAAATATAAAAATAATCCTAATCCTACAAAGACAACTGTTTTATTTTATTTACAAGATTTCGTCCGTAATGCATTGGTCGTTTCTGTAAAACTTTTATCACAGAAGACGATCTCGTTGACGCAAACGTCTGTATTGATATAACAGCAATCAAAATCGAATCAGAAAGTTGCCCTTGCGTCAATAAACCAAGTGCTCTATATCCATCGGACACCAGCTGTTTCAAGTGGCTGATTGACGCACACCATTTGGAATTCTATTTTATATGGAGTAGAGTTTAATGTTGAATAAAGTTTTGCTTCCATAAATTGAAGATCAATGTCATAGGTTTGTATTGTGGTATAAATATTTCGTGTTTTTTGTTTGTAGTCTAAAGTGCCTTGGCGTAATTGAATTATAGGAATAGTAATTGTTTTTATTACTGACGTTTTTGTTTGGCTAGAATATCCCGGAATTTCGTTCATATAGGTATGTACTTTAAAAAAATAGGAGGCTGATTAGATTTTTTAATAAAACCAGAAATCTAATTTTATAGCTTACTGCCTTTACCGGTTAGAATCCAAATATTGAACATTTCTTCTAATCTCGAGCTATCATTGAGAATTTCTATATAGACCTGAAAATTGTTAAAATTTAAGATAGATTTCAAGGTCTTGGGTATAAATCGTCTATTTTACCATTCATATACATATGTGTTTATTGATTCCAACTAATATTATAAAATGTAAAATAATGTTTGTTAATCTTAAATCTTCGTATAAATACAGTACATAGAGGGATACGTTTTAAACATAAGGAGGAGGATCCTACTAATATTATAAATGCGAAATTTTTGTGAGGATGTTTTTTTTTTAAATGTTGCTCTGTACTAGTGGTTTCTCCTGTGTCGTGGGTGCGTTTACAAACATATAACTAAGTTTAAATACACATCACACCCAGACCCGGAACAGCAATCTGCGGATCACACAAAGAGTTATTCCGTGCGGGAATCGAACCTGCAACACGTTGCGCGGCAGCCAGTTGCCCAGCCACTGCACCAACCGTAAAGTCAAAATTGTATGTGTGTTTGTTACTCTTTCACGTCAAAAAGGGCTGAAGGGATCGAGATTAAATTTGGAACAGGAAATTTGGGTAGAATTTGATCTGGAATAACACATAGGGTATTTTTTCTCACGAGAACGCGGGCGAAGCCGCTGGCAGAAGCTAGTATACATTAGAGGTGCACCGAATATTCGGTTACTATCCGGTATCCGGCTTATCCGGCCGTTATTTACTATTCGCCCGGATACTGGATGATAATGTACTATCCGTCCGGATACCACATTGTAAATTTGGTAGATTTTATAAATGAAATCTAAATAAAGACACAGTTGTAATTGACTCTTTTTATTATTTTAAACAATTTTAACTTTTTATAAAAACAAGTCAAAACCTGCACGGCGAGCGGCGTGGTGGTACGCGACACGCACCTACGAAACTCAAAATGTAGGTATCACACTGCCGGCCGAATATTCGGCGACGGGATACCGAATATTCGGCTGGTGGTCAGGCCGAATATTCGGTATCCAGTATCCGGCCAAACAACTATTCGTTGCATCTCTGGTATACATATATTTTTAACACAGCCGTGTATAAAGCTAGTTGAATATGGCAATAACGAGCTGACGGCAGACGAAACAATAGTAATGGCGTCCAGCAATTAAAACGAACACGATCTGACATCTGACAAATAAATTGATTTTAATTGACTTCATTTTGGTGTAATTCGACTGTATCTAATGAGGAAGGAAGATAATTCAGTAATATGTTAATTGTATGATATTATAACTGCTAATTTTTATTGTTGAAACTGAATTGTTTTAATTGTTTTGCGCAGTTTTGTTTGAGTGTGACAATTATACCTTAGTTCATGGTTCATACCACAGAACATATAAAGAAGGCTCTGTGGTTCATACAATAAAATTAAGTTAATGTCGAACTAGGGTATTTTATACATTGATAGTAACCCTACTATCAATATACATAACATAACATCACGCCTTTTATCCCCGAAGGGGTAGGCAGAGGTGCACATTATGCCACTGTACAATGAAACACCCACTTTTCACTATTTATGTTATCAGTCCCATGTAATAGGGGTGAGCCTATTGCCATAAACGGGGCACAATTTCAGACTCCGTGCTACTACTGAGAATTTTTTAAAAACCCAGTTAATACTGTGCCCGACCCGGGAATCGAACCCGAGACCCCCACTCGGCCAGCGAGGCAGTCTACTATCAATATACTACTAAAAATATACCCATATTTGCTTACTACATAATAGTTCAGTATGGGACTCTCTGTAAGGAGCTAGTCTCGGTCTTACTATACATATAAATTGCTATATTAAAAAAATTAGGCGCAGTATCTTTAAAATCAGCTTGCGTGCCGTTGTACGCATCTTTGGTATTTGTTTTAGTACTTGTAAAAAAAGTATTCATGATATTTCATTGTCTAAAACTATCTGAGTGAATATTTTTTCAATAGGCTCACCCCCTATTACATGGGACTCATAACGTAAATAGTGAAAAGTGGGTGTTACATTGTTCAGTGGCATTAAGTGCCGTAATATGCAGCTCTGTCTAGCCGGTCGGGACTAAAAGCCGTGATTTTATAAATATTCGTTTGTTTGGAACAAATAATAATTATTATTAATAGAAATGGGGTTATACAAGTAGGTGGTATTTTTTTTTAAGGGGGGAAAGTCATTGAATGCCTTCTCTCTTCTGGGTGAGGCGGGAGGGAGTGTCAGACTCTTACTGACTAAAAACCACCCGTTCCTTCTCCTGCATGTCGAGACGGAGCCCCGGTTACCCGTTAGGTTCTCCGGAATAATATTTCAAAATAATATAAAAGCTATCCAAAAGATTAAATTTAATGTATGAAGATGTTATCTGGATAATGGATTCCATATAAACTACTTTAGCAATATCTGTTTCTGACATCATCTTATAGAAATAATTCAGATTCAAATGTAATTGAAGATTTTCTGAAATAATATGAGTCCATATTTTGGTCATAAAGCAACTATATTTATTACATTAAAATAGTATAACAGTACAATCATTAAACCAAGGTTTTATACATTTCAAATAATAAATTTAGGGAGAATAAATTGTCCACATTTTTATGGGATAAGCCGGTAAACCAGCAGACGGATCACCTGATGGTAAGCAATCGGCGTCGCCCGTGGACACCTGGAAGCGGCGTTACAAGTGCGTTACGGATTGGGGAAAGGGGGGGAATTGGGCCTCCGGTAACCTCACTCACACGACGAAACACAACGCAACGTTGTTTTACATCGGTCTTCTGTGAGGCCGTGGTATCACTCCGGTCGAGCCGGCCCATTCATGCTGAAGCATGGCTCTCCCACACTTAAAAATTAATTGAAAAAATTATAAAGATGGCAGAATAATACCAAATAATATCAAATAATATTTAATCTATTTATTTATTAACGCTTCATGCATAAAGTGTACATATAGTGTAAGTAAGTAAGTAAGTAAATAAGTAAGTAGTGTACATATGGCTTAATGCCGTAGGCATTTTCTCCCAGTCTGACCTTGGGTGATGCAAAGATGAGTTAATGCTAGGAGCAAGAAGCATGCAAAATATATGACTAGGTGCTATAGTGTGTGTCAATTTTCAATTCGAGGATTTGACAATGTACTTGGATTGTCTTTAGAAAATTGGTGAACCTAAGTAGCACATTATGTGAGCAATAATAACATTACACGTCTTTTAGTTTCCGAAGTTAGTTTTGAAATTAAAATAGTAGACATACTTTGCTCAACTCAAGAAATAAACCAACATAACAACAAAAATAACACATCTTCTTTTGGATAACTTTATCGAATGATGAAAAAGTATTTATTAAATTAAACAGCAAAAATATAAAGTCCTTCCTTGTTTCTCCGATCTTCGACATTTTGTTTAGAATAATAAATTGATTGGAACGTGATTCCATCAGCCGGTATCTCCAAACTTAATACGAGTGAAAACGGAACAAAATTTTCCACAACACAAACTTTTGAAATTGAACCATTTCTGTTTGTTTTTTGTTTATCTTTAACACTCATATGTATGGAAATTTTTGCCGTTTACATCGACGAAAAATAAATTCGTTGCTATTGAAGTTACAGGCATATTTGCATTACAATATATTTTTATAGGTGAGTTTTGGATTAAAAAAATTCATAAGTGAATGTAGGTGTGGGTGAAAATGTAACAGTCCTTGACTTCAAGAAATAAGCGTACCTATTCCTTTTTAAACGGCCGGCAACGACTCCTCTTATGTTGCGGGTGTATCTACATGGTTGATCGCTTACCATCAGGTGATCCGTCTGCGTTTGCCTCCTATTCCATAAGAAGACGTCGCGGAGAATCGAACGGGTTACTGGGGCTCCGGCTCGAAGCGCAGGAGAAGGAACGGGGTGGTTTTTAGTTAATAAGAGTTTGACACTTCCTCCCGCCTCACCTAGGCGGGAACAGTCATTCGATAATTTTCCCCTCTTAAAAAAATCCATAAAAAGACATACCAAGTAATCCAGGAAACGAATATTTACAGAAATGGCAAAAAAGTACTGTCTAAAATTGAGAACAATTTTAAGTTTCAGTAAATTAGAAAAGTCATACAATAACTAAACTGAGGCAAAAGAACTAAGGATACAGATATGGCAAGAAGGAGAAGATACAATAGTTAAAAGAACTCATAAGTATTTAGTTCCAACTTCAGAATTGAGACTATATGACACTCACATGCACTAACAGGTCCTTGTCTCATTTTGCCCCAACAATTTTCTTTTTACATTTCATGGACCGACTTTTCACCACTATCGATTCTGGTGGTAAGCGATGATGCGGCCTACAAAGAACCACGTCTGCCCATAAGCAACCTATTCACTCGGGCCTTGAAGACACTCAGGAAGCCAGAAAGATTCAAAGAATTTTACTCTTCAGCAGTTTACACAAGGAAGCTTGAAGCGAAATGCTTTGTGCGGGTGGGTGGTATAACCACCATAAGTCTGTCACACTTCGCCAATTGTCTTGTGGTATGATGATGCAAAAGACTAGGTGGAATCAAGTTTAAGAATACCACTCACCGAAATGTATCCGGTAAAAAAATGCAAGGCTTGCAGGCCCTACGCCTGATAATATTATCTTCCTTCTATCCACAAAATACTTTATATTGTGCAACAAAACTTGACTTTTCATAAGAATCATAAGCATTCTCTACAGAAAGCAAAGACTTGCTATAAAGGCTATTGTTATTGTATTGTTGCATTTGAAAGCTGAAGATACTTCATATTTTATTACTAGCTGGCCATTTCTTCCTGATGAACAAACAGAATGAGATTGTATTGTTTGTTATATTGCTTTATTCTTAGTGAACAGATAAAGATGAAGATCGGCTATTTCAGTTAATGAATTGCGACTTAGTTACGTACTTTGGTAGTATTATTTATTAAATCAATGATTTTCCCATAAGCAAGTAATTCACGGCTTTCAACCGGGCTTCAATAATATTATTATGTACTAGGTGTACCCGTGGTAACCGTTTTTTTAAGCTACGTTTTTATTACATCAGCTACCTGTCAATAAATGTCCTGTCAGAGTTTATCCTGTACAAACAGACAGACAGAAAATTGTAAAAGTGTAATTTTGGTATATGTATCATATGTATATTCTTATGCATGTAATATAAAACTGATATTTCATTATTACAAACAGAGATAGATGTATAGATTTTTCTATTGTCATTTCCTGAAGAAGCTGATTTTTTTAAGAACAATTCCATCGATGTCATTAAACAGTTAATTTATAGAAAAATATCAAACTTATACTGACTAAACTTCCTTCTTACTTTTGTGTTTAGAGTAGTATAAATTTATATTTAAAAGATTCAAGATCCATGATTCAAGACTGCCTCGTTGGCCGAGTGGTCGCAAGTGCGACTGCCGGGCAAGGGGTCTCGGGTTCGATTCCCAGGTCGGGCAAAGTATTACTGGGTTTTTAAAAATCTCAGTAGTAGCACGGAGTCTGGAAATATGCCCGGTATATGGCAATAGGCCGGTATATGGTAATAGGGGGTCCTATTACATGGGACTCATAACATAAATAGTGAAAAGTGTGTGTTACATTGTGCAGCGGCATTAAGTGCCGAAATATGCACCTCTGCCTACCCCTTCGTGGATAAAAAGGCGTGATGTTATATTATGATTAAAAGATTCAAAATTTATCAAAACTTATTGAGAGAAAATACCATTAATAAGACAACGAATGTCTTTATTGAAAGATGCTTTAAGAAGCTCTACAAGACACATCAGCGTCAACAGTTCACGTTTAAAAGTGCATTATTGAAATGAAGCCTTAAAACTAAATGAAGAATGCGTCAAAGGGTAAATTAATTCGTTTTTTTTTCTAGCTATAGAAAAAGTTGTGATAATGTAAATTATATGCAAATCTGAAAGCTCGAATTATTAACCCCTCGAGCGTCCTTATGAGCACCCGGTGGATCTCTCTGTCTACCTCTTCGTGGATTAAAGGCGTGATGTACCTGCAGCGTAATGCCGCAGTGTGTGTTATGTTATGTGTCATTAGAAAGCGTTGCTTCCCAGTCTCCCATGTAGCTCTTGCATAGCTCTTGCGGTGCCTTCGAAAAAGATCATAATAAATGTATTTTAGGTAATCTGTCGTCACTACACGATTTCTGGGAAACGTTAATCAATTCAAAAACAGTAAAGTCAGCGTAATAGATATTTGAAAGCGAAACTTATTTAATACCGATTTGTGAGCTACTAAAAGCAGATTAGTTAGAATCAAACTGCGTAGTCACAGCTCAACAATTTGTCGCGTGTCGTGACATTTAGAAATGGGCTTATAGAATTATTTTCAATTAAAAAAGTTCTAGATATCTATGCCTTTGTGTGAGACGTGTTACATAATGTATAATGTGGGCCATGATAGTTAGATACTATACCTAATGGACGTTTTTGTATCGCTTCGATGATAGCGACAAAGCTTCCGAACAGTCTAGTCAGCGTACCCTTCTTAGGTTTTTTTAAGGGGGAAAATCATCGAATGACTGCTCCCACCGGGGTGAGGCGGGAGGGAGTGTCAGACTCTTACTGACTAAAAATCACCCCGTTCCTTCTCCTGCACGTCTAGCCGGAGCCCCGGTAACCCGTTAGGTTCTCCGCGACTCTGAAGCCCTCTTAGCTAAAGACTCACGGCGCGAACTTCTCCCGCAAACACTGCGGTTGCGGGCCCGCCTTTGTAAAATACAGATATGTATGTAAAAAAATAAAGCAATTTCACGGGCGGTGGTTATGATTGTTAGCGGCTCCCGCTACATTTGGCACGGCCGTGGTCCGCGCTCTGCGATCGGTTGGCGGGCGGGCAACCGACACGACCAATACAATCGACACGACCGACACGACTGACACGACCGACACGATAGACACGACCGACACGATAGCCACGACCGACACAACTGACACGACCGACACGACCGACACGATAGCCACGACCGACACGATAGCCACGACTGACACAACTGACACGACCGACACGACTGATACGACTGACACGATAGACACGACCGACACGATAGACACGACCGACACGATAGACACGACCGACACGATAGACACGACCGACACAACTGACACGACCGACACGACTGATACTACTGACACGATAGACACGACCGACACGATAGACACGACCGACAAGACTGACACGATAGACACGATCGACAAGACTGACACGATCGACACGATCGACACGACCGACACGACTGACACGACCGACACGACAGACACGACCAATACGACCGACACGATCGACACGACCGACACGACCGACACGATCAACACGACCGACACGACAGGCACGATCGACACGACCGACACGATCGACACGATCGACACGACCGACACGACAGGCACGATCGACACGACCGACACGACCGACACGATCGACACGACCGACACGACCGACACGATCGACACGACCGACACGACAGGCACGATCGACACGACCGACACGACCGACACGATAGACACGATCGACACGACTGACACGACTGACACGACAGACACGACCAACACGATAGCCACGACCGACACAACTGACACGACCGACACGACTGACACGACACAACTTACAGACACGACAGACACTATTTTCTCTACACTAATATTATAAAGAGAAGTAATAAAAAAAATAAAATAAAATCGCGAGTCGATCGCGAAGTCGCGAGCAACAGCTAGTCCTATAAAATAAGGCATGAGCCTGTTGCCAAAATCCAGACGTGGTCCGTCCCCGTTAAGTATTTGCTTATGGACATTAAACGTAATTAAATATTTTTATGACATCTTTTGAAAATCCCAAAAAACGAGTTCGTTAAATACACGGTACTCGTAACTTTTGAAATAGGCCTGAAGATTAAAATTTGATTGCCACTTCTAAGGACACTTTATTAAAACTTTGAACACTTTAAGAATTTATGAAGGAAATTGTTTTAGATGACGGTAGATTTCAAGGGTATAATGTTAATAGGATTAGGGACGATCCCAATTGTTTTCCAGATGCTTTTAAGTCGACAATATTTTGGGGATTCGTAATTAAAGTTGGTAAATAAAAATAAGTAGATATTTTTGTACCTAGTATTAATCTCATATTTTTTTATGGAATAAGCCAGTAAACGAGCAGACGGTAAGCAATCGGCGCCGCCCATGAACACCTGGAACACCAGAGGTTTTACCAGTCCGTTGCTGGCCTTTTGGGGATTAGAAGTTTAAGGATTGTTGGAGATTCGGGGATTGGGGAGATTGGGGAAGGGGGGGGGCTAATTGGGGGGTTTGTGCGCGATTATCTCGCGATTGGCTGAACCGATTTTGATGCAGTTTCCAGAAAAGTGTCTCTTACAATATTTGTATTGTAACTTTCGTGAGACATACTAAATAAATTATTATGTTTTCGGCTTACTCACGTAGTAATTTGACGAGGAACTCGACTAATTTCAAGCCATGCTAGATGCTCATATTCATGAGCAGCATTTCGCGACCCGCGACGCGGCAACTGCTGCGCTGCTACTGTCTACTAACTAGTCGAGTTCCTCGTCAAATTACTACGTGAGTAAGCCGAAAACATAATAATTTATTAAGTGTCTCTTACAATTAACCGACTTGAAAAACGAGGGGATTGAAGTTGAAGATTGAAGAAAAAAACTAACATACATACATATAGGTCAAGTTGAGGACTTCTGCCTTTTTTGAAGTCGGTTGATAAAAAATAATTAAAACAAAGTTAACGGTACAAAGGTACCTTTATTAGGTATTCGTATAACATAGGTACAGATTTATATAATATTACAATACATTTCAAATCTGTATTATAAAAATAAAATGTAAAAATAAAAGAATGATAGAATTCCTCAAAGCCCTTTGTACCCATTGAAGAATGAAACCTACATTATTTAAATATTTAATGAAACATTATTTCAGTTCAGCGTATACTAATGGATTAACCCTTTTATAAGTTTATGGTTTTAACTAAAGGAGTATAAAGAGTACTTGGGTACTTAGGTACTTACTGATGTAATAATATTTTTTTAAATTATTCATGTTGGACTAGCTTATGCCAGCGGCTTCGCCGGCGTTCCCGTGGGTAAAAAGTAGCCTATGTATTACATCAGACAATAATCTATATCGCTGTTCCAAATTTCATCCCGGTCCCTACAGCCGGTTTGAAGTGACTGAGTAAGAAACACACACACAAACACATAAACTCACATATTTTGGCAATTTTAGTATTAGTTTAAGTTAATTTCAATCGTCGGCCCTACACTTACAGTGTAAAGTCCGCTGAAACCTAACATTCGACAAACTTATATTTGCATTTGGTACAGTAACTGTGTCTAGGGATCGAGCCGCACAATTAAGTTTGTTTTTTTGTATGCATACTTTTCGGGATAAAAAGTACCCAGTGTGATGCCCAGGATATTAAAATATGATCTTACCTAGTTTCAGCGTAGTAAGACCGATAGTTTATTCGTGATGCGTGAACTTAGAGACAACGAAAAAAAAACAACAACAATATTTAGATAACACGAATCAATGCTTAGGAGTGGGAACCGGCTACGTCATTTTTGTATATGTATAAAACGTACACAAAAGTGACCTCACGCGTTATTTCAAATCACATAACATAATGCCTTTTATCTCTGAAGGGGTAGTAATACTTTGCCCAACCCGCGAATCAAACCCGAGACCCCTTGCCCGGCACTGTTCGCACTTGTGACCACTCGGCCAATGAGGCAGTCATTCTCAATATTTCAAATCAATATATCGTCGAACGTATTCGTTTCCGTAAGAAAATAAAAAATACTTGTCTCATATTTTTAAATAATCTACCAGACGCACATTAATATAAAAAAATGTCATCTACCCTATTATGTAATTAATTAATTATAAGCAATATACTCGTTTTATTACAGAAGGAACTTACAATACCTGTTCAAAAATGAATATGTAAATATACCTCTGCTGCTACCCCTTTAAAGAGTTCGAGTTTGATGTTAAGTTAGGTACAGACGGTATAATTATTGTGGGCGGAATTGTTTGACAGTATTCTGGAAGATAATTAAAGACTCATATTTTGGTAATAACACATTATTAGTACAAGTCGTGTCGTGGGTGTAGTTTTATATTTGTCTTGATATTTAGAAAGTATAAAGTTTGTTTTTGGAATTAAGTCGATTTTATTTGTTCGTAAGTAAAAACATACACGTTGTCTTTAGTTTCAATGTGATCACGGTGATACGAATGATTTTGAATGGACGGAGTAGGTGCAGTAAAAATCGATTGCTAGTGGACTGTATAAATATTAATACATATAGATGGGTACAACTACATACATAAATAGCTTTTTTTAGGGGAGAAAATCATCTAATGACTTCTTCCGCCTCCGTGAGGCGGGAGGGAGTGTCAGACTCTTACTGACTAAAAACCTCCCCGTTCCTTGTCCTGCACGTCGAGCCGGAGCCCCGATAACCGGTTAGGTTATCCGCGACACAACTGCACATAGCTGCTGCAATGCTGTTCGCGCTTACACACAATGAAATATGAAGGCAACTACCTACCTATGTGAAAAGATTATTCGTAAGAAATATTAGTTGAATTAGTTGTTAGAGAAGTAATCAGTGTTTTGAAAAGAGTACCTAAATATGTACTTTTATGTGTTGATTTCACTTATATACCTAATTGAAAACGAGTGGTCGCGATATCGGGTTCGATTCCCGGGTCGGGCAAAGTATTACTGGGTTTTTAAAACAAAAATCTTAGTAGTAGCACGGAGTCAGGATATTATTATGTGCCCGGTATATGGCAATAGGCTCACCCCCTATTACATGGGACTCATAACATAAATAGTGAAAAGTGGGTATTACTTCTGTGTGCACCTCTGCATACCCCTTCGGGGATAAAAGGCGTGATGTTATGTGTCATGTGTGTGAAATCTAGGCTAAGTAATCATTTTGTCTAAACGTATATCACTTTATATCAATTTGAGGCTTCTAAAGAAACATTCCTTCTTCAGAACCAGAAAGTCCAGTTTACCAAAAAGTTCACCCTCTATCTGAAAAATTTTCTTCGACTGAACAAAAGGCATATATCGGTATCGTTAAAAATATTGCTGACTCACGCTAAGACGAAGTCGAGTATAAAATAAAAGTGGGAAAATTCCACACGGATATTTTTATATCGTTAACACCTTCACAATGCCCGGGCAAGGAATATTATTCTAGGCACGTTATGCCCTTTGTCAGATTGGAATAGATCTAATGTTTCTGCCTTTTGGAACTGACCTGGGATTAAAATTCCAGAAGGTTTGGGTTGGTGCACCTGCTTGACTTTGAGAAAGACAATTTTTATGTCAGCTTGGAGTTGTCATGTTCACTCAAAGATCTCATTGGCGGTGGCACGTGCATTGGGTCGCTAGATTCCCTGCAATATGGTTGAGTTGGGCGGTGCTGGTGTACGTGTCATGATCGTGAACGGGCGCCGTCAACTGTGAATGGTCAACTCCAGACTGTATTATTCATTGTCTTTAAGGGTTATTTTCTTTTTCGTTTTCTTTGGCTAGATTTTGGTGTAACATTGTTCTCGCACAATCAAACCAATGACTATGTAACTGAAGAATTGTATTGTGAAACTGATTGGAAAAGAGTAACCTATGGAGTTTCTTGCTCGTTCTTCTCCATAGGAATCTACACCATGGAATGAGAAAATAGCTTCACTTTTAAATTTCTATTGCTGACGTTCAAAAGTGCCCTACTGGTATAATTGAAATAAATGATTTTTGACTTTGACTTGACTTATATCGAATCAAAGCTTTTGTGAGACATACTTAATCAATTATTACGATTTTCACCATAACTGATGCTCTTCTAGTTCTTGTCAAACAATTGGATACTTGCCATAATCAAAAAAATATATATTTCAACTGTTCAATACAATAAAATTTTTAAAAATAATCACACTTTCATTAATTGATTTTATGACCAACTTTAGTATTATTCCAACAAGTTTTTAAGAAATAAGTATGTTGTTTAACGCTAAAAAAACGTGACGTCACAATACACAATCTCGTACAAAATTCATAGACAACTGTCGTTTTTGACAGTTCGAAAAAGTATTGAATTTGACTAGTTGGCAAGTACCTAAGTTAGAATGTCAAAATACATGTTTTAATGCAGTTTTTAAACTAATCTAAGTACCATAAAAATAAATTATGAACGAGCCTAAGGATTTTAATTTCGTTTGTAGCCTCAGGCAGTACAGAAAAGAAACTTTGCTATACCGAAATCTCAAATGAGATAATCCCCCGCCTGATACACTGCGGTTGATATCATTGCCTGTATGTACAAAATACTTACTTGTAATACGTTTCTTTAAGTGTTTGAGAGATTTTGGGTACATGATCAAAATTTTCACATGCTGTTACACCATATTGAGAATCAGATACACTCTGAACAGTTCCTTCCTCAGTTCTTCACTCACTTTCAAAGACTTGGTAAAATATTTCATCTTTGAATCGGAACCGAGTGGTATTCAATTTTAAAGTTCAATTTCAAATAACTTTACA